TATTTTAGTTGCAAATCTCCTATTTGCAGATATGTGGGAGTGGCATGGGCACTAAATGTGTGCCATCCTTTGCCCCACTGTTTAAGAGTGCTAAATATAAATCATGGTGAAAAAACAGTATTTATGTAATGGTAACTTTTTTGACATTAAAACTTCATACGAAGGACAAACCTGTTAATTCACAATATCAAACATTTGACAGTGCTTAAAATGGCAGTATATTTTTCTTGTCTGTAGAAATGGCAATATTGCCATTCACCTTGCAGAGTGATCAAACCTTCTAAGTTTTGAGGATGTTTCTCAGGACCTACCAATCTTGTCTACCTAGAAAGCACAAAATGTGGTATCACAGCTAGTGGAATTAGGGTTGTTTGTCAGAAGTAGCATTTAACCAACTTATCAACAGTAATTGGATAGATAACCATACTTTAAAGTTAAGCAGCTAATTGGAGAGTACCCAGCCTATGGTGCCAAAGTTCACAAACAAATTACATCAGTGTTAAGCAATGAAATGGGTTTGAAGCCGGATGCATATTCTAATGAGTCATGGATTGATAGGTAGAAGTCTCTCTGTTTAAATCTGTTCAATCTCTAGAAAACACATGTCATCCATACACCTAATTCTCACAAGGTGTATGGATTGCTAATATCTGATAAAGGAGGGAAGTCCCAACCCCCACATTTTTTTCAGGAGTCAGAAAAAGCAGAAAGCAGTACAAATTGGAGGATACCCTCTATTGATTTTTATATGGCGGATCAATGTCCCATTCATTTCCATCCTTGCTGGGGTAGGTAAACAATAGGCAAATGCATCGGAATATGTATATTCCAAAGCCCATCTGCTGCAGCATCAATCACATACATTTTCAATCTGTGTCTGAGCAAATATATCAGTAGTAAGGTAACAGGTTCATTCACCCAGAATCCAGTAATGTCTGTATTACCATTCCTTAGACTTTCACAGCACATGTGCATTATCTATCTATCTATCTATCTATATATATATATATATATATATATATATATATATATTTGTTTGTTTGTTTTTTTAACCACTTTTTTGCAATATATATCAAATCAAACTTAGGAGAATGTACATAAAAACATAGAAACATAGAATGTGACGGCAGATAAGAACCATTCGGCCCATCTAGTCTGTACAGTCGTATCGATTCTCCAACTACTGGCGCCTCTCAGTGAAGTTGCAGTTGGATGGTGACATAATTTGTGCAATTATTCCCCATAAAGAATGGGGAATAATACATTGCTCCCTATTGTGGACTATAGAGACAGAAATGAGACAGACATGTCCCAGTCTGATCAAGATAAGTTAATGATAGACTTCAGAACTAGTTCAATAGCAGCAGCTGTAATAATGCCACCCATGAGCTGCTACCCTCTAAACTAAGTCTACATCAAGAAATATATATTCTTCTTCTGCCTCAGAAATGAAAGCAGGCTCTGTCTGCATGAGATATACAGTAACCACAGATGATAATTTTGGCCTTCATTAAAGTTGTTGTATCTTTCATGCAGAGGAAACCTGTTTATGATTGTGGATCTGGACTGCTCTTGTGGGTGGGATCAGTCTAATATGTGGCTGGCTAATGTTCTCTGTCTGTTGATACAAGTGAGCTAAACACTTGTATGAGACCTGAGTAGGGATAAAACGAAGGCAAGCTATTTGAGCCGATTTCCATTCTAAGTATTCTCATAAACTTTGTTTGACCTATTTAAAATACAGATTATATATATGTTTTCTAAGCGTTGATCCCTACTTCAAGAAGATTTGCATGCTTATACATTTTTTGCTCTCCCATTTTTGTTAATCTAATTCTCAGGTTGCATTGTTCATGGCCTACTGCTAGGTTATGATGAAATTTGAAATTAAGACTTAAAAGGACTTAAAATATTCTTCACTGGTTCATTGAAGTATGTGATGATAACTTTCAAGTAACATAACTGTGATAAAGTCACATTTCCTTTCAGTGCATTACCTGCTGAGATGATGGGTACTTCGTGATAAGATCTGACAAAAGCCATTCAATTCTAAAGAAATATTACGTTTAAGCTGTTTTATTGACTGCGATGATAAATAGTCATTAAAATGTGACAAATAGTATAAAGTGCTCTCTTTAACTGGTGATTCAACTTATGTCACTTTTATAACACCTAAATGTGCAGCATCTACAATTTCCATAATGACTGCTTTGCTTCCTAGAACAATAAATTTATTATATTACATCAAACTGTATTTGTGTTGTGAAATATATTATATATCACATTCATCATTATGCAAAAATGTCTGCTACTACCAAGAATCTAATTTGTTGTATATTAATACAATGAACTTAATAATTTGTTACAAAAATTTTCTACCCCTGTTTGTTTTGTTGCTTTTGTTCTATTTAGATATCCTTTTCATGAATTGTTCTTTGTCAAGTATATTTTTGGACAGAACTTAATATGTATATATTTTTTATAGATTAAACTTTTTTTATTATATTAAAATATGCATAAAAGTGTGACCAATTATACTCTAAATTTGATATCAGTTAAGAGAATTTTGAAATTATGGGAGTTGATATAAGGGGCAAGGGAATGAGGGAAAGGATGTAATATGGGGAGAGATGAGATATGAGAGCAAACGCATGTTATGGACATATGAAATGATGGGGACATGATATGAGAATAATCCTATTGTAAGAAATTGATATGCAAAACTGCAATATTGTATATAACTTTCTGTGTATGTGACTGGTTTCACAACATGGGGTCATCTACTTGATAACAGTGTGATAAGGATCAGTTGCATTTTACAACACCCAGCTAAAACAAAAGCTTACATCCCTCAAGCAATTCTCCTGCCAAACAATTTTCCATACATGCTATCAGGAGATCAGAGATCAGGAGACCTGGAGTAATTAACATCTAGGTGTAACCATGGAAGTATGTTTTTTCCCAAGCCATCCTGTCACTAAAAGAAGTCCAGGCCTGCTCCCAACCTAACAAAAAAAAGAACCCTAACTGGTCACTTCTTACATAGTTAGTTAGTTACATAGCTGAAAAGAGACTTGCGTCCATCAAGTTCAGCCTACCTCACATTTGTTTTTTGCTGTTGATCCAAAAGAAGGCAAAAAAACCCAGTTTGAAGCACAATTTTGCAACAAGCTAGGAAAAAAATTCCTTCTTGACCCCAGAATGGCAGTCAGATTTATCCTTGGATCAAGCAGTTATTACCCTACATTGAAAGATTATATCCTTGAATATTCTGTTCTTGCAAGTATGCATCTAGTAGCCATTTGAACATCTGTATGGACTCTGATAAAACCACTTCCTCAGGCAGAGAATTCCACATCCTGATTGTTCTTACAGTAAAAAAACCTTTCCTTTGCCTTAGACGAAATCTTCTTTCTTCCAGTCTAAACTCATGGCCTCGTGTCCTATGTAAAGTCCGGTTTGTGAATAGATTTCCACACAATGGTTTGTATTGGCCCCGAACAACGTTATAGGATAGCTGGGGGGAATAAATCCAAGAAAAGGACTTGTGTAAAGATGGAACTCTCTGGGAAAAGAGTGTGGGATGAACCACTTGTTGGGAGGTGAAAGGGATTCTGGGACTTGTAGTTAACGATTGCAAGAATCAGTCTTTAAAAGGACAACAGCCAAGAAGGTTGGGCTCCTCTCTTTCTCTTTTTGTATCTTTTGGGGAAGACAGCACAGCACAGCAAGCAATGGTGCCATGGTGAACTGAAAGAGACTGTCCCAGATTACCAAAGATGAAGGCGCAAGGGGAAGATCTTCATTCAAATGTCTAAGTATTGCCCTTTTACTATGTATCTTTTGATTATGTACTGGCTATGGTTACAATGTGTAATGTATATATCCTTCTAAAATCTGTAACAGTATCCTAAATCAATATTAACAATACATTTTATTATACACTTGTGTTTGTGTCTTATTTGTCACACATTCCCTAAAAGAATATCCTTGTAAGAGGGTCATAATTTCTTACACTATTATCTGAATAGATATGTGATATAAGGGTGAGGAAGATTAAATAGAGTAGAATGTAATTAGGCAAAGAGCATATGAGAGGGTCTATGATGCAGGGGCAGGAGGATATAGGAAGAGTTTTACATTAGGGTAGACATGAAATAAGATTGAACATATGAGGAGCTGTGATGTTGGTGGATGTAGGAATGAAATGAGGGGAGATGGAACATAAGCACGAAAGAAGATTAAATAAAGATTTGAAATTTGAAGGGCATACAAATAAGGAAAATTAATCTGATTTACATATAGTTTCAAACATAGTTACATAGCTGAAAAGAGACTTGCGTCCATCAAGTTCAGCCTTCCTCAAATTAGTTTTTTGCTATTGATCCAAAAGAAGGCAAAACACCCCAGTTTGAAACACTTCCGATTTTACAACAAACTAGGAAAAAACTTCCTTCTTGACCCCAGAATGGCAGTCAGATTTATTCTTGGATCAAGCAGCTATTACCCTACTGAAAAATTATATCCTTGAATATTCTGTTTTTGCAAGTATGCATCTAGTTGCTGTTTGAACATCTGTGTGGACTCTAATAAAACCACTTCTTCAGGCAGAGAATTCCACATCCTTATTGTTCTTACAGTAAAAAAAAAAAACTATCCTTTGTCTTAGACGAAATCTTCTTTCTAAAATTATTATTGTAAAAATTGACAGACTTTAAGTGGGCGTGTCTGGACGCAGAAGAAAATGGCCACATAAACGACCTGCTCCCAGTGGCACCCGCGACATATGCTTAATAACGCTCATCTCTCCATGCAAACAATCGATAATGGGTCATACAAAGTGGCAGACTGACACCACCGGTACCCCAAAACCATCCAGGTCTGGTGGGGAGCCGTCCATCCTCTCCTCTCTCCTTCCTCACAATGCCCAGGAACCTGGCCTCACAGCGTAAGACGAAGGCCGCAAGCCCTACCCCGCACTCGCCCCCCCTCTACCCCAGTGAGGTTCTCGCCGACATCCTCTGACTCATTGTACACACTGATGACACTCGAGGTGGAGCTGCAGGCCATACTCCCAAGCCTGCTAACCAAGGCTGACTTCGAGGCTCTCTCTGACCGTCTGAGCCAAGTAGTGCAAATGGAAATTGCCCGGATGCACGCAGACCTTGCAAACGTTGACACCAGGGTGTTGGTGGCGGAAGTGGAGACCTGGTCGCTCCATACAGACCTCAAACAAACCATTACTGCGGTGATGGGATGTGAAACTGACCTGGCCCATGTCACAAATTGGGTGGATGACCTGGAAAACCACGGCCACAGACTGAATCTCTGCATCAGAGGGGTAAGAGAGGGCGGCCCAGCTGAAAATATCTCAGAGCTCCTCCAAACAATATTCAACCATGGGCTGGGTGGCCAACAACTGCCCAGACTGGGCCTGGTCAGAGCACACTGCACACTGCGCACACCACCCGCACCCAGAGACCAACCCAGAGATATCATATGCTGTCTTGTCAACTAACAATTAAAGGAAGACAATTGGTAGTTGCCTTATGGGCACACTTCGTCTTGAAGGCCACACTATAGCTATATATCAAGATCTCTCCCACTATACTCTACAGGTGAGGAGAGCCCGATGTCCAGTGACATTTGCTTCTGGGATCCAAAACCGCTGGGGATACCCCTTCTCATTTATGGCACGCCGAGATCAAGACATACTGGTGGTGAGGACACCGGATGACGTTCCGGAATTTCTGCGCTCTAACTGGCTGGCAAGATCATTTCTCCAACAATCCTATGGACCCTGGATGCCACTTGGATGAGACATGGCCCGAGTTAAGCCCCCAACCTCAACGTTTACAATCCTGATGCCCAGGCCCGACTAGGCCTGAGAAGTAGGGGCCGCCTAAACACCACTACATACTATGCATTGCTTGCCCATTGAAGGCTGGAGACCCTCTCACCAGTTTTGCTGCAACTTTTTTGGTGAGTAATGTACATGGGGGACACATGCTGAATATATACCAATCTGATGTTGCTTGTGGGGGTGGGGGGGTTATCTGTTTGGATTGGGTGACCCGGGACCAGTTTGGAGTGTTTGGGACTCAGATTTGGGCACTCTGATGCCCTTCACTTGATACACCGGAAGCACTTGACACCAGTACCACCCATGACCTATACGAAATATGGACAAACATGGAAGACCGGACTAACTTACTTGCATTATGAATGCTCATAGAAACAGCATCTGGTATTAAAACTCACTATGGTGGACACAGGAGGGGGGGCATAAGAGCAGGGTACCGTACATAAGAAATGTAGTGGGAATCGGAAAGGAGAAAACGTTAAAATTAAATTAATAATAAATAATATAATAAATAAATAAAAAAAGAGATGAGGGGGAGAGGGGAGAGTTGAAGGAAGGGAAAGAGAGGGGGAGAAGGAGGGGAAAGAGGGAAAGAAGGGGAGATGGGGATGAGGGGAAGTAGAGAGGGGGGGAAAGGAAGACAAAACAGAGGGGAATATAGAAAAGGCAAGGTATACCCACACAGGCCAGTAACGGATAACCTTTTGCATAACTTATTTCCATTAAGTTTACACAATATTGATTGTATTTATTGCATACTTGAGGCTACTGCCCCCACCCCACCTGTCATGCCACTCACTCTAATTGCCATAATTTTGAGACTATAATTGTACTAGGGAAAGGGCAATGGTGGCCCACTTAGAGGAGAGGTGGGAGAGGAGTGAAGGATATGCCATGTTTGTGGATGTATTATGATGGGTTCACTGTATAAGATACCTGGGAGTACCTCATGACAGACAGTGAACTTGCCACTCACCCCTCATTCATGCTTATTGCATAAATACTATGTACCAGCTGCTTGGAAGTCAGAGATGTATTGGTTATTCTGCATATAATAACCCCATAGCTTCCCCACATGGTCAATATCAATATACCAATTTCAAACAATCGAGGGGACCATATGAACACAGAGGTCTACTATGAACAGGGACCCAAGCCAAATCACAGTCCATATCCACTCACAACACTGCTGAGAGGTGTAGTGACTCCTTACCTACACCGGCCAGACTGAGATAGTATTCTTTTGCACTTCCTCTTTTGACGAGTGAGGTCACTTGCAGACCCTCACCTGACTGATACACCCAGATAACCCTGAGTCTCTTGGGAAGGTGACATCTCCATCTGGGAGACATTAACGGGCAACCCACCCCCCTCAGGAATAGGACATAGCGTACTCCTCATATAGGGGCAGCACTTCACTCCGGGAGTAGACCCAGGTCACAAGTCATACTGAACCTGCGATATACTTCTGCCTGAAACCCAGTCCATTTACCTGTGCTAACCCCTTAGATGGCATGAGACTGACCAAGCCAGAGCCAGTCCCTATCCCTGCTCCCTTCCTTAATTAGACCTCCCCCTGCACCTTCATTTATTTTATTTTTTTTATTTATTTTTTTCCCCTTCCCTTCTCCCTTTCTTTTTCTCCCTCACCAACCCACCCACTCCCCTCTACTCCAGCTCCACCCTTGCCCCGGGGGACAACCGATGTGCAGGGAGGACCTGGTCCTCCTCTCGTATAATGTACATGGCCTCAATATCTGCGAGAAACGCTCTAGACCTCTTCACGATCTCAAACGATATGGAAACCTCAATAGCATTCCTCCAAGAGACACACTTCCAAGAAGGCCAGGCACTAGCCAGGAAAGACTGCAATTTTACATTGGGATTCTTTAGTAACAACCCCCTGCACCCAGGGTGTAGGGATTCTGTTCTCGATAGGGGTCCACTACACAGAACATGACACCCTTTGCTGCAAGCAAGGTAGATATATCTTCACGAAAGGCACTCTCCATGATCAGACCTACACATTCTCAAATATCTATGCCCCAAACTCGAAACAATACCATTTCCTACGCACCGCACTAAACACCCTGATGAGATTTGCAGAGGGCATCCTGGTGGTGGGAGGAGACCTGAACTTGGCACCGGACCGCAACCCCGAACAAGATTCAACCGAACAGATATGCCAAGACTCTCTGCCTACTCCACCACCACCTACTCACGACTGCTGTAGAGCACTAAACCCTACTACACGAGATTACACCTTCTACTCTATGACGCATGCCACCTACACGAGGCCAGACTACTTCCTCATACCACACTATAACCTTACCCTCCTAGTAGAGTCAAAAATCCTACCAATGACATGGTTGGACAACTGTCCCCTTCACTTATGGATTAGTTCGCCCCTCTTCAGGCCACACCAAACTTCATGGCACCTAAACGAATCGATCCTCTCTGATTCAGTACTGGTTGAAACAACAAGGAAGACTCCAGGATTAATTCACCACCAACGAGATAGAAGGTACTATGCCCCTGACCTGCTGGGAGCTTCACAATGCAGTGATTCGTGGACACTTCATTGCGATATACTCGACGTGCAAGAAGGAATTAACGCAGGCTATCTTGGACCTTAGCGTAGAAATAGCGACCTTGGACAAGAGCACATTGGATGAAAATATATACAGAGACCTTCTTCTTAAATGTGGCCAACTTTTCTCACTCCTGAATTGCTCTATTCAACGCTCCTACCAAATTTTAAACACATGTTTTACGAACATGGAAATAAATGCGTAAGACTGCTCGCAAACCTCCTAAAACAACGCAGGACCCAACTGTACATTCCTAAAATTAAGGACTCAATGCAACAAGTCCATCACCTTCCAGACCAAATCACGACCACATTCCACCAGTACTACAAGGGGCTATATTATATATGCCTGGACCCACGAGTAACCGAGGATCCCCACAGACAGGAACAAATACAGAGATACCTTGATTCGTCAAATTTGACCAGACTCGAGGACCAGGATCTGGAACCTTGAAGACCCTCATCACCACTGAAGAATTGTCTTGCTTTAAAAAAGGAAAAAACAGGCAAATTGCCGGAACTGGATGGCTTCCCCTCCTGTACTATAAGACCTTTCTGCAAGCAGCCCTAAATTTCATTTTAGAGGGAGCTAGACCATCGGCTCAATTCACGTCCGCAAACATAACACTCCGCCCAAAAGAAGGCAAAGACCCAATTTCTGTCCTGGACATCAACCTCAAACTACTGGTTAGTGTCCTGGTGTCACATCCTGTTCCTAGCTGCGGATCATTCTGGCAATGGCTTCTGGTATCCAGTACTCTTTTTTTTTACAATTCTTGTTTAGTTTTTCTTGGTTTTCTGGTTTTCTATTCTATGTCTGGTTTTCTTTATGCTGGGTTTCTGGGTTCATTCTTATATTCCGTCCCTGGATTTCCCAGTCTCTTGGATTCATTTAAAGGTTTGTTTTATGTTGCCACACCTGTTTGTTTTCCATCATTCTTTTTTGTTTCAGTGTTCCTGCAGGCAGCTGCTCATGTCTTCTGCCCTTTCTTGCAAATAAGTACTTTGGTTGTTTTAGGCAGTGTAGGTCCTGCCAGATATGGGGTACATTGGCGTTGTTGGCAGGCTTATGCAATGTATGATCATATAATGTGACTAAATCCCCATGATTTCCATATATAGTGCTTAGTTATGTCTCCTCTTATTTTACCTTGTATCTCTTGTCTTGTTTTATTTTGTCTTGTAATCCCAGTCCATGTACAGTCCTGTCCAGTCATGCCCATGTTATGTTTTTGTTTTCCTCATGTCTTGTGTACATGTTCTGGGTTCTGCTTTCTGTCATGCTCTGGTTCTGGGTTCTCCTAGTTTTGTTTTGTTTTCATGTATGGTGTCTATCTCTAGTCTTGCCTTGCTTCAGTACTGGATACATCCCTGCTGCAGAGTCTCCCTATTCAGCTCCAGGGAGGTCTGCTTATTTCTATGCTCCTAGTTCCTGGGATCCGCTGAAGTTGCATCAGGGTTCTGGTATGTGGCTGCACAAACTCTGGTGCTCAACACCAGGGGGCGTGCGGTTACCCTGCACCAGACCCTGCTAATCCACTTCCACACTGTGACTCCTACTCTGAACATCAGGCATACTGGGTCCCGGTCCTCGCACCGCCGCCCGGACAGTGTCTGGGTCCCGGGTACCGGACCGCCACCCTGACACCTGGTCACCTGCATCGCACCACTGCTACCTGCAACAGTGAACCCAGACCAAACAGGGTTCATCCCAGGCCGAGAAGTCCGAGACTATACCATCTGGGTGCTGAATTTGATTTCAGCAGCTAGGCAATTGGGACACCCAGTCCTACTCCTGTCCATGAATGCGGAAAAGGTGTTTGACAGGGTGGATTTGGGCCTCGGTATTGGTCTAAAATACCTCTCATAGGTCGAGGCAATGTACTCT